TGTTTGTTTGATCAATCGTGTATTCAAATGCTGATCGATTGGCGTCTTTTTGACTTCGCTCAATATTATTTGCCGGTCAACTTAACCAATATCATTGCGCTCGATCTTTCTATAAGAAGTCGATATCTTCAGAATACCACACTTGAAACCATCATCTCGCAATTGTTTATTGAAGATTGGATGGAAACTGTCGACTACGCTTCTTATTATGCTCAATGTCAACCTAAATCTTGCATATACACATTCATAGAGAAACGTCAACTCATATTCATCATCACAAATGTTGTTGGTCTATTAGGTGGACTCATAGTAATTCTTCGCATTCTCGTTCCACCGTCTGTCAAGATTATTCGACAGATCTATCACAATTGTTATGATCGTTGGCAAAGAAAAACTGGTGAGAATCGAATAAATTCAAATTTAAGAAAATATGTTTTGCATTTGCAGGTATTACAACTCATTATTCATTCTGTCGATTTGTTGCACATATTCGACAAAGTATTCAGACTCTGAATGTCTATGAGACAGAATTTGTCAAAAATCACCAGATATTAGCCAGTCGAATCTATCTTGTGCTACTCATGATTTCAATTGTTATTATATCGCTCTTTGTCGGACTAAGTCAACAGACACATTCATTTACGGTTGATTCGCCAACCGAAACTCAATTCGCATATCTTCACTCTCAATATTCAACTACACTAACATGTCCTTGTTCACAAATTGCTATTTCATATGAAAAATTTCTCAATGTATCACCTGTGATACATCAACTGTGTTCTAGTCAGTTTGTTTCATCAAATTGGTCAACAGCTTTATTCAATATGGGCTCTACTTGGTCAGTGCCTGATTGGTTTCTACTTAGCACTCAGTTTCGCCTACTATCATCATTGTGCAATCTTGCTAAGAACGCTATCGATCAATCAAAATACAATTTCATTTCAAGTCAATTCATCAGTGCCAAAACTCTTCCGCTCAGTTTGTTTCAAACACAAGTCGATTCGATGATTAAACTTTTCATCCAACAAACTCCAGCCACGTTTCGTCGTACACTTGCCTTTATTATGAATGCACATCAATCGAACCAACTCCAAGATCAATTCATGTCAAGTTGGAAAATGATATATTCATCTTCAGATGAATATTACATATTTCGCACCGTTCCGCTTTCATACAACAATAATACATGCACATGCGCTGCAGGTATGTCAACCTGCTCGAGACCACTCCGCTTTTTGAATTCGAGTAATAATACAATCACTTTTCCAGGTAATTGTAGTAAGGCTTATTTCATTTTTTTATTAATTACTTTGATTTTCAGGCTTTAATGCCGGATGTTTGCTGATCTTAGGCCTTCGCCTCTCAACATTCGAATGTCTGTATGATCAAGCATGCTTGAATACACTCACGACATTGATTGGTTTTTCGACCCCGATAGTCGCATTCAATTCATCTGATACCATTCGATATCCACCAAGCACAACATTAATCGGCTCAATAATTGACAATCTTTTTATCGAAACGTGGTCTAATTCATCAAATTACTCGAGCTATTTTCATGAGTGTGCTCCTACAACATGTCAATATTCTTATGTCGAACGAAACGACATTATTTATATACTGACTACTCTATTAGGGCTCTACGGTGGACTGACAATCGCTCTACGACTGATCGTTTGGCATGGAGTAGGTGTAATTTCTCAACGTCTCCTTCGGTGTCGTCAATCAGTACAAGTAACTCCAAACACTATCATTGAATAAAACTTAAGATGCAACTATAGAAACAATGTCTACATGCTTTGTTCAGCTTTATCCACTTTCATTGCTTGTATGTTGTCAGTAGATCACTGCTTTTTCAAAATCGCTTTCTAGTTCAGCACATCAGCTGAATCTATTCGGTAACAAATATGAGAGGATTGATGCTCTAATCGGTCTTAAGCTTTTTAACCCTTATGTAGTGAAAAACAATCTCGGAAGATGGGATTTTTCTAATTGTTGTCGGTAGACAGGGTAATTCTCTCAGACCAAGAACTTTGAATTCGATAAAATAATGACAGTTTCAAAAAAGAAGGGTGGCCAATTTTTGGATGTGAACTAGGGATATACCGAGCCTCTCGATCTCTGTCAGTCTCGATCTCAGTTAGTCTCAGTCTTGGTGTTGATGAATATTGGTCTCGAGTACAATTAACTTGTAATTCGTTCTTTATCGTAGGTAAGCATTGTATTGACTCTCGGTCGAAATTATTATTTTTTCAGTCTTTCGACCGAGATCGAGACTACCCGTACCGAGTGCCTCGGTTCGGTCTCGGTACATCCATAGTGTGAACAAAGAAAAGACCCACACCCACACCCACGATACAACACATCTGTCATCAAACAGCATCCATCTATTGCCTTATTAATGATCATCATATCGCAATTAACGATTTTCAAACGCAAATTAATCTCAATTATAGAGCCATCTAATGAATAATCTTCGATTATCATAAACTTGAAAAGACTACGGCTAGTTATACATTGTAACAGTTGACTGTAAGGATGCTCATGAAGGATATGGTGTGAATTACACGTTTGATAGATCATTATTCGTCTTCAAGGTTTCTCTGACCTTCACCAAACTATTCTTATTATCTTTCAAGTATTCTAAGAAGTGAAGTTCAAACGTTGAAAACAAAAAACAGTTTATTATGAAGAACTCTCGCGTGAATATAGAGTACAGACGAGCTTTGATTGAAATTCTTATACTTTTACAACAATTGAAGAATGGTGAAATACTATTGAATTATAGGACACCCTTTGGACTATCAGTATATACAATAGGTATCAAAATGATTCAACTAGTAGAATAATTTGGTTTTATTGACGCTATAATCACTTCATGCCATTTTTCATTCTTCCAAAAATATTCAACCACTTAGCTTTACAAACTATGGAGAGCCTGTTGTGAGTCAAAATTTTCGTTATGATACATGATTCAATAGAACAACTTGTGCTTTACGTGGTTCCCATTATGTTTATTTAACTTTATAGTTCAATATATCATTCGCAAGAGCACAACAAGCTACAATAGATATTATAATTGAATAGACATTCTTGTACGATCTTATTCATGTATCTAAGAAAGTAAAAGTTATTCTAACAGCATGGATTTGTAGAGAATTTTTGTTTTCGTAGAAAAATTCTTATATTTGAAATCAAAATAAATTATGTCATTTATGCTATATACCTTTGTTACGCCATGAAAAGAAGAAGCAAAAAGCTTACTGTAGCCCTATGTAGACAGATGATCAAGTTCCAACCAAGGCACTATGTTAAGTTTCATTTGATACATTCTTGTTTAGTAAGATACATATCCATTCTGTTGCTGTGACTGCATTAACCTTTAGCATTGTTTGTATCATCTAAAGTAACTGATGAAATATTACGATAGTATGAATGCAGAGTGGATCTTGTCATGTTGTGACGCAGTCTCTTCATTCTTTACTAGTGTTCTACACGATTACGACCTTTCGCAACTAAACCTGAACTAGAGCTAATTGATGTTCGACAGATATGTTCAAACTTTCATTTTATATGAAAAAGGATAATATTTAGTTTCTTCCATACACAGCAACAAAAAAAAATAAGTGAATCAAATGGTTCAAAATTCAAATTCTGTCTTTCTGCTTCTAAAACCCGATCGATTTTGCTAAGTATGCGTTTACTTGTTGCTGATGACACTGAAATGGAACGTAATATTGGTAATAAACCTCGCAATTGTGAATATATACATGAATGCTTCTTCCATCATAATGAAACATATTCACCTGTGTCATAATTCATTTTTATCTATAGTATCATGTATACACAACATATGATTCAAACATTAAAATACTTGAACTTACATATAAAAGTCAAATTTGTGATCATGCATAAAAATAACTATACTTGATATTTATGTATACAGCGGTTGTCTACATACAAATTAATATAAAATTCTAAGACTTACAGTATACGTATCGGATGAATCGATAACTACAATGATAGATATATGGTTAATTCATATTAATCTATAGTACGTAGAAGAATACATCAACATAAAATGAAAATAATTCATTTAGAATAGTTATTACTAAATTTTGTAGACTGATACATACATATAAAAGGATAATTACTTCTATTTCTATGTATTTCAATAAGATTATCAATAAAAGTAGTAAAATAAAATTAAGATACGTCTATTCAATATTCATTAGAAAAAGAAAAACAGAAAACTGACAAACAACAATAAATAATAAAAGTGTGTCATTTACACATATTGACACATGTTATCAGTAGCGTAACGAAAAGAACAATAAACGACACAATAAAATGGTGCGTGCATAAAAAAACGTCATGAAACCATTTTTAACAAATCTATTAACTATTTTTGTACTTATTTGTATGTCATAGACACATTAATATTTATTGCCATTCTAATCCTTTTAATTTCTTCTTAATTCCAAATCATGTTTAATACATTGTAGACTTAAATCTAATAATTCAATATGAAAATATTATTCATTCGTAACATCTGTTTTAAGTGATACTGATTCTTGAATAAGAACATCTTCACCAACACAAGATCTTAATGATAGTAATGATCACCATAAAAAATCAGGACAATATCAACGTATTCATAATACAATCAGTGCTAAGAATGAGTATGCTAATTCTTCTTATAGGAATAATAAAAAAAAAAAGTTAACAGAAAATATATATACGCATGACAAAAAAATGACAATACAACAACAACAACAATGAATGAATATCGAACATATAATCAAAATTATCAATAACAACAATATTAATCAATTGAACCAATAAATAATGTTACAGTTATACATCGCCCAACAACATATCGACATGATGTTCTTGTTTGTGACAAATTAATGAAATATTCTCTATTTTCAGTAGACAGTCAATATGAATATGACACTAATAAAGCAAAACATAGTAATAATAATAATAATAAAAAGATTTTATAAACAAGATGACAATGCTTGAATTGATTCAATCAAATGAGGTCGCTAAAAAAATAGAGAAAATTAAAATTTGTATTTTCTTAATGAGTAATTTGTTACAAAGTCCAAAAATAAAAGTATCATTTTATTTATTAAATTTTTCTTTGAGCTAAATAAGTATACAGTTCTTTTGAATATTTCATTGAGAGAAAGTACTACATTTGTGAAATTCTAAAAATCATATTATAACACAACTTTATTGAATTCCAAACAATAAGTCAAGAAAAAGCATCACATAAAATAATGAATAGATTTTCTTATCATTGATCGAAAGTCATTATGTTGATAATTCCTTTTTAACTACACATCTTACCCTCATTTTCACTGTTGTGGAATCTGTATGTGTATTATATAGACCTTCATACGGAATCGATTTGGAGTAAACTGAATTTTTTGGCAAAAAATTTAGTAAACTCTGAAATTGACTAATCTATGGTTTTCAACCATCGAAAGAGTAGAGATATTAATATCATCAGCACTAGGCATGCATTCAAATCCGATAACTGAATTTGAATGTTTCAACCTAATCTCATTAATTATAAACTACCCAAGACAAGCAATCCTTGCACAGGATTCCGGTCAGGATTTCGTCGGAATCCGATAAAAACCGACAGAATCCTATCAGATTTTGCACGTGTCCGATCAGATCCGACAGACGGAATCCGGTCCATGGGATTCCGACAAAAATCCGACAAGATACAGATGCAATTATTGGAATCCGACGGGATCCGACCGAGCGAGAATCACCTGGGTATATCAATAAACTGTATAGAAGCATGCCTGCCTTTGACAACGAAACAGAGAAAAATCTAATGAATCATTTAGGTTTAATAAGACATTGAAAAGAAACTGAAAAACAATCGAAGTTCATTGAATTCGTGTTTTTTTTTTATTGATTTTAGCACATTGTCTAACAACATTCCTGAAATTTCTCTTTTGACATTGTCTAGTGTTATTACTCTAATTCATTTTTATACTGACTGAAAACTGTTGTGTCATGTGGTTGAGTAAAAAAGAAAAAAGAGACATTTTGTCTTCATTTAGGTAAAACTGACTCAAACAGTTTCGTTGCATGTCTATTCAGTGCTAGAATTTAGTGTAACATTTTAACTATTTCTTTCACGATTAATATTAACTAGATTTATCTAATATCTTTCATCATTTCTACTTCATGGACAAAGAATAGTTTGATTATTCATGAAGTCAAAGAATAAGAAATTGCACTGAACTAAACAATTAGACAAGAAATTAAAATCAAGAAAAAGTGTTATATGAATAATAACTAATATCAATAATAGTGGATCATTATTACTAGTACTTGTGCATGTCTAGACTTTGACCATTCTATGCAATGTAACTTAATATGATTAATGTTATTTTAATGAATTCTGATCAAGTTAACTTCTAAGTTTAGAATTATTCTTGACACTAATTTGATTAAGATTCTTTCGTGCTTACAATAAAATATACCCAAATCAACAAATATTTTCATTTATCTCTGTTACAACTGAAGTAAACTTGATGTTTTTTTTATTTTTTATCAATAATAAACACAACGTTGTAAAGAACTTTTTCAAAATATTATTATTTACTTTTTCCAAGCTAGAAAAAAAAATAATGTACAATGACGAAGAGTCAGTTTGTCAACATGAAATGTCAATAATTCAATGAAATTGTTACTGTCACATGTCATTCATTCATATGTTTTCTCCTATAATTTTTCTCGTTTTGCTCTGTTACAATTCAAATTGATAGCTCACATCATATAAATCTTTTTTCCTCATATACTATTAATTATATTCATCTATGATCTTAGTCTACATTTGTTTTATGTTTTCTCGCTAAGTCTCGTTCTTTATTTAGTGTGTAACTCTGTTTGAGAATTCATATATTTACAGATGTAAAAATAGAATAGCAAAAGAAGAACGAATGAGAAGAAAAACTGATCGAGATTGTAGATGAATATCACTAAAAGTATACGATAGAAAAAAAAAAAGATTCATATACTGTAAATTATTAATATAGACTGTAGTAGAGTAAAAGCAGAAAAATCATAAGTGAAAAGATATGTGAACGAACGATGTATGACAATCAAAAGTTTATTTGATTATTTACATATTATTTTGATAAGCGAGCTCTTCTCTATGGCCATTATTTTTTTTTTTCTCTATATAAAAAAAAAAAAAAAATTTTATTTGTCGAAATCAATAGTAACACTTAGAGAAGATTTCTCGTTAGAATTTTCTTCATTATTGCTAATAAAATCAGTTTACTTACTCAAGTTATAATAGAAAATATCTTATATATTTCTCTTATTTTACTTCTTAATTTTTGAATCAAATCAAGAATTCAAATAGATATATCATGTTATAGAATATATATTCAATTAGTCATGATAAAGAAATCATTAATATTATTGATATACAATAGAACAAAAGAGATATTTTTAGAAAAATAAACCAATTCTATTTATATTTCATTAAACTAACCCGTTTACAATAATCAATAAAATCTTCTAATGTTATTTGTTCAGTTTGCATCGGATCAATACGCTATAAAAGAAAAGTAAACAAATTAATATAATTCAAAATTCAATATTTATATATAAATATATCTCATTCATAGAAAATCCTTGTAAAGATTATCAGAAAAAAAAAAAACAATAATCTTCATGTTGAATATTTTAAATCAATATTTAATTTATTAATACATACTTCAAATATTTCATCAACATGTTGATGAATTTCATGTTCATCAATACGAGGATGAACTGATGGACCAAGAAGATCATAAAATGAAATAATAATTTCAGTAACATTCTAACAAAAAAATTGAAGAATAAATATATGATATTTCTTTGAAATTCTTACAAAAAAACAAAAAAAGTCCTACTTCTCGTGTTAATAATCCTTCACCATTAATATCATATAAACGAAATATCCATCGTAATTTTTCATCAATTGTTCCACGACATAGAACAGATAATGTTAAAATATAATCCTGAAATAAAAATTAAATATTATTTAATTACAAATAAAATAAAATAAATATAAATTTACATCAAATGTAAATGTTCCTTTATGATTTCGATCAATAATTGTAAAGAGAAAATGTGCATATTTAATAGGATCTATTAATTAAAATATAAAGAATAAAATAAATAAATATTTATTCTTACTTCCTTGAGGAAAAAATTGTAAATAAATTTCACGTAAACGTTCTTCACTAACATTTCCACCTGGACATTCCTTTTGCAAAATAAAAAACAAAAAATTGAACAATTATAATAAGAGAAAAAATTTCATAATAATATATCATTTATACTTCTTTAAAACTTCGATATAAAAGACGAATTTCCGATTTTGAAAAACGTGTACATTTCATAATTTCTTCTAATGAACGTGGATGTTGAACATTTTTTGCAAGAAGAGCATCCAAACGAGCTTCTAAATTTAACAAAAAAAAAAAAAATGAAACATTCATCGTAATCAATGTTAATTACAAAGGAAGTGCAACATTTTTCTCATTTTAAAGAATATCGATGGTACAATAAAATATTGAAATCAAATTTTCACTTTGTAACCTTGTATTAAAAATTTTAATAGGAATACTCAATATTTTACTTATTACAACTGTGACTGAGTGTAAATCCTTCTAACTTATCGTTATATGAATACATCAGTTCTTAATCAAATATTTCAAATATAATATTTGTCAATGTCAATCGATAGAATTAACTAGATGTTTGTCACTTTAATAGATACAAAACTCAATCAAATAATAAAAAAAAACACACGCATACACACATACGAACTATATTTGTATATAAGACTAATTAGTAGAATAAGTTTCATTGATTATACATTATATGATATGACATTAGAATGATACATTCAAATTTTATATTTGTTTTATTATTATTGTTATAAATATCAAATGTTTGTATAATGAATTAAAAAAACAAAATATTTTTTTTTTTTTGTTAATAAAATTTAACAATTAACTTATTCAAAAAGTTATCATACGTACCTGCTTTACTCTGTCTTATGCGTTTGCCAAAATTAAAACCACCTGCTGTTCCTTGTGACAAAGCAGCTATATTAGCACCCATTGTTGTTATCAAGCACCATGGGTATTACATACAAAACAATTGTGATTAACTCAACATGCACACTTATTCACAATCTATCTATCACTCTTTCTCTCCCGCTCGTTTTATTTTTGTCTCTCTCTCTCTCTCTTTGACTAGTGCATTGTACGAGAAGATGAGAACGAAAGATAGTATTGACAACGAGCCGATGACATTTCGCCCGGCACTCTTTTCAATTATGATTCTTAGTAGCCCTACATAAGCACAGAAAACACATATGGATTGTCCAAATAAATATAATTGGAAAAATAGAATATGATAAAAAAAGAACGACAGGAAATGAGAATTGATCTAAAAGTCTGTTTCCAATCGGATGAAACTATAATCTCGATATGATACAAATCTATGACATTGAATGATTTGTACCATTTATATACATAAGCGATCGGAAGAATGAATAATCATCTTGAATACAATAGATTATTGACATTGACAATGATAAAATGGATTTTGCATTTGAAAGACGAACTATTTTACGTGTATTCAATTTCCATTATGGAAGAAGTATTTTCTCTATTAAAGAACAAGACGTAGTTATTCTTTTTGATTATTCTTATATTACAAACAAAAATACTTAATAATTAAAAAAAAAAGGAAAATTCTATGAATAAGATATATATTAAACAATTATTAATACTGCTAAATCATGAAAGAATATTTTTATATAAATATAATATAATCGAATATCAACATTTTTTTTTTTTTGTAATCTAAAAGTTCATATAAAAAGAACTATTATTCAATAATATATTGTTTTCATAATAAAATAGATTCAATTCATTATAATAGAAAATATTGCCGAATAGTCAATTATCATAAGAATAAGATATCTCTGATGACATCAAATTTATCGAGAAAAAAATGATTGTTTTTTTTTTTTGTTATCTACAAGCTAACGATAGTTTCGATAATAGATTTAATTTGAAACTAAAATGAATTAAATACAAGAAAAAATTCTGCTTATGGCTATATACGAAGAATATTATGATGATAATTAGTTGAATCAAAAGCAGAAAATATCTAATCAAGTATAAATACCCTGAGGGATTCTTTCTTTTGATTGGATAAAAAAAAAAAAATTTTTTTTTTTTTGAAGTTCAAGATAGAATATTTTGTTGCCCTTTCACAACGTAAGATTAAATTAGTTTTTTTTAATTGCGAAAAATTTTTGATCTTCATAAAACTATAATAGAAATTTAAAACTATGTTGTACAAGTCAAATTAGCATCTTATTTTGTAGAAATATATTTATTCTACAAAATATGAATGTTGAATATTTCAAAAATAAACATAGTTCAATTCGCTGTCATAATTTTCTTTTTTTATTCTATCAATTTGTATAAAATGCAAAAAACAAAAATAAAGAAAATCTACTAGCGCGATAATTAATATTTACTTATAGAGATCGGAATAATTGTTTAAGAACTAATATATCTCGATCTATTTTTTTTACATTAAATTCATATCATAGAATTATTATCATGATGAATAAAATTTATTATATAGAGAGAAGAAGATACTTTACATTTTTATTCATGAGAATTTTATAATAAATTAATGAAGTGAAAAACTTTCAGACATAGTAAATGATGTGTAGAAAAGAGAGAACATTCTTTTATAGAAAAAAAATTCAGTAAAATAAATTTTAATCTATTTACCAGATACTTGAATACGACGAACAGCTCGAAATATTCCTGTACTTAAACGTCGAGAAAATCGTTTACAACTTGCAATTAAACGAGATGGTCGTCGATCAGCACTAAGTAATGTTGAATGGTACCAAGACATAATTTTATTTTATCATCAAATCTAAAAGAATCGCTCTTTTTTTTTTTGTTTTTTTAAATGACACAAAACAAAACGCACACATGTTACTTGGATCTTGTCATATTTCTATATTCTGTTGTCGTTTTTTTTATTTTTTATCCGTTTATATATGTCTCTTTTTCTCGTTTCTTGTAGATACACTCGTTTTTTTTCTCTACATTAGCTATTTTACATTCATTCATTATATCACTTCCAATGACTGCACTCGTTTCTTCGTTCGTTCGATGCCGAGTACTAATAGTAATATAACATTTCTCTCCTTATTCCCTTAGTTTTTACTTATTTTCGATGTGTTATTATTTTATAAGAAAGAAATGATGAAAACCAAGTGCGGAAAACAAAAGAGTGTCAAGAGGAAGCAAATGAAGAGAGAGAGAGAGAGAAGAAAAACCTAGCAACGATCGTTGATAATAAATGAAGTATCATCAAAGTATTTTTCACATCTATTAATACATCGTCAGTTTTCTTTTTTTTTGCCTATATACTTTTTGTAGGAATTCAAATGATTAATTATCATTACTTTGTTAGTATGCATACCAATGCTTGGATAATATAAATATATATATATATATTTGTCAGTTATTATTGATTCATTTCATCAAATGTAATGCTGCAATCAATTTATTTATATCTTTACATTAGAGATTTCTATATTAATAAGTGAAATATATTCCTCAAGTGACAGTTTTAGAACAGATTTTTTGTCTTTTAATAATCTCATTCATTATTTATAAGAAAGAATATTAAGATATACGAATAGATAAAAATTGTCTCTATCTATTTCACATCGAATAGATTAAGAAAATAGTATATCTCGGTTGTTGCAATATATATATTTTTCTTTTGTTGACATATATTCTTCAGGTCGTAGTAAAGAAGTACGCCCACTTCATACGCCAATCATCATTAGTATGATTATGTTCTGTTTTTTGTTATCAAATATGGAATGGTGTCAGCTGACTGTTTTTGGCCAAATAATTTTCTCTCTCCAAGGAAAGTTTTATACGATTGTGTACTTGACATTTTTGTTTTTTGGTAATGATGCATTAGAACGAAGAAAAATGTGTCTAATAAAATTCTCTTTTATAAGAACTAATCGATGATAAATTTGATCGCATTGATTGATTATTCGATAGAACAGGAAGTTTGATTATAGGCAATATATTTTTTTGATGAATATTTTCCAAATTTTCTTGACAATGATCATAACATAATTTTCTATTAATACAATTTTCTTGTTCATATGGAAATTTTCTTATAAATGAATGTAGTGGTTGAGAATTTGTTTGAAAAAATTTTCGTTGATTATTAATATTAGTTTTTGTTTTATATGTTAAATGACAACAAAATAAATCTCGAAATGCTCGTCGATATTTATTTGAAACAACATTATAAAGTATTGGATTAATAATTGAACCAAAATAAAATGTTATACCTGATATAACATATAAATATCCCATTATATTTGAAAATATATAAGAATCAAAATATATATTTGAATTTAAACTTATTATAGCTGATAATAAACGTTGTAAATAAAGTGGAGCATAACAAATAAAAAATGCAATAACGACAGTTACTAAAAAACAAAAAAAAATAATTATTTCAATATAAAATATACATGAATCCTATGAAAAAAATCACTTTACTAATGACAAAATAGTTTTTTTTTAATCATTCAAGCTTACATAAGAAGACATCTGTTTATTATGACATGTCCAAATTAATCATGATAAAACCAGAACCTGACGATTTAAAGGTCACAAAATGAGTCTTGTTTTTTTTTTAACACTAAAGAAAAGTTCTAATATGTAGCACATATTAAATAGGATAATATCATTTTCTTGTTTGTTTTCAGCAATCAGATAGATTCGTAGAAAGTAATTTAATTGAGGAAATTTTTATTTTTATATAAAATTCTTTTTTTTTTTGTCAAGGCAAAATTTATAATTATTAATATTTATTCAATCGTACAACTACGATCATGAATTATTTTTGTAAATTAAGTTTCACTTTGAAAAAAAAAAAAGGTTTTTCTTACCCAATGTTTTAACAACAGCTTTTCGTGCTTGATAATGAGCACGATTTTTTAACCATGAATAAGAACTAAGATGAGTAGTTTTTTGTTTCATATGAATTGTTCTTTCTTGATTAATTGTATTTGAATGAGAAGATGTACTTGATGTTTGTTTTCTTCCTAGAGTTTCATAATTTGATAATGGTAATAAATTTGATTCAATATGATTTGAACGTTTTTCATATTTATTAACATGATGTAATGCTTTTATAATATAGATATAAATAATACCAATAATAATCATTGGTAAATAAAAACAACATATGGATGTTATTATCATAATAATTGATAATAATTGAATTAAATTTTTTTTTGGTACACATGATTTACAATAAATATTTATTGATATAATTGTTTCATTTAATTGTTGAAATTTTGTATTATTTATTGGTTTTAATATAAATGTTGTTGAATATGGTGATATAACAACTAAATTTTTATCAATTTCATATGAAAATCCAATTGGAATACTAACGAAAAGTGATAAAAACCATATAATAATAATAACATTTTGTGCACGATGTAAATGACTTAATTGATGAAAATGTATTGGATGAACAATAGCAAAATAACGTTCACATGAAAATGCTAATATAGTTAATATAGATGAACAAGTAAAAAATTCTACACATATATTTCTTAATGCACAAAACATAATAGATAATGGCCATTCACGATAATGAATTTCAATCATTTCTAAAGGTAAATTACATATTAACATCATCAAATCGGAAACAGCCAAATTGAGAAGATAAAGATTTGTCGGTGTACGTAAATGAGTATTAAATTTTATGATAATGATGGTCATAATATTTCCCACAAGACCAATAAGAAAAATTACTACATAAGTAATTAATAAAACTCTTTCGATAAAAACTGGATTTGAAAATACATTATGAAATATAGATGGACATTTATTTATATCATCTTTTGTTAACATTCTTTTTTTCTAAAATTTTACGTATGTAAAATCTAAAAGTCTAAAAAAAAGTATCATAGAACTTTTCTTAATATTACATATGAATATTTGAAAAGCAAATGTTCTCAACTAGTATTCTTTTATAGTTAATAAGTAATAAATTAAAGGAGTATGCATTATCTAATTATATCATTCGTAAAGATCAATGAATAGATAGACGCCAACGTCTGTAATATATAATTATATTTCACGGGTACTATTTCTTTTCTAGTTTATAATCTTTAACATACCAAGCGAAATATATTCCAAATTCCAATATTGAATTAGACAAAAGAAACAACTCATAAGAGAATTGAGAAAATGATAGACAGACATCAATATGGACTCAAAAGGCATTTATCGAAATCAACAAGAATGTTATCACTAATAGAAAAATCATATGAGATTCGATAGTCTAGTCTATTTGTTTATTTGAGGAAAATATAGCAGATTAATTATTAATCTTGACTTAGTTTCTAAAACAAAAAGTCTAAAATTTGTTTCGATCTTATATATGGATAATAGTTTAATTAAAAACAACATCAATCGATCAAATGTATAAGCTATTATCATTCTAATATAAGTTCATTGTTTTTTTTAGTAAATTTCCTGTATTGTTGTTTAATGACCTATTTATCCTTCGGCTAATTCTTTTTGTTTTACACAAATATTTCTCTCGTTTTTTTTTTTTGTATATGTGACTGTTTTACTTAAAAACAAAACCGTAGGTAGATGATTAATAAGCTTTAGCACATACAGACACGTATATTTCTACGATGAAAGAATTATAAAAAAAAAATCGAAGTTATAGAGATATAAAAAGATAAATTGATATTCGAATAGATATTAACATAACTACAGTATTATTTCATTTCGTTGACACGCTCTTAATTGTCCCATTTCGTTGACAAAACAATTTTCCTATATCATAGACAGAAAATTTGTTCTCATTTTATCGACAACTGCTTCTTCCTTTACTAAACATCAATCTAATAATTTAAGCATCTGCTCGACCAGTTAAGGTTTAACTCATTTAGCCTACAATTACTATTCATTTTTCTAACAACACGATAGAGCATCGTATAAAATACTATTTGTGTTTTATAAGTGATAGGTTCAAACGAATTAGGATGTGAGTTACGAGGAAAACAATGCTTATACTCCTTCTTATTCAATGTTATTAGTTAAAAATAAACAAAAATATTGTTATTCGTCCGATTTCAATAACGGAATAGTGATTCTTGGTGTTTCTGATTACTTTTCCTGATATACGATCCGTTATCAGAAAAAAAAAATTGTCGACAAAATGAAGAAAAAAATATTGGCTGATGACACGAGAAAAAAATTATTTCGATCCATTGGGAAATTTCTCTAATAGCTCTTAATTAGTCAACAAAAAGAAGAACTCAACTCACAACTATCTATCACTACGATATTAAAAGTCATGAAAAAGAAAAAAGAAGAAGACATTAATGATCATATCATGTCATAGAGTTGATCCAAATGCAATCAAGTTTAATATAGAACATTGGTAAACAAAAGAAAGAAGAAGAAGAACTTTCAGAGCTTATCTTTTCTGGATTTATGATTCTTTACCACTATGACCCACTTTTAGTAGAAATAAAACTTATTATATGCTATCAAAAGATCAACTCAATGATTCGAAAAATAATCCTAGAAAATCTATAGAAAAGTTAATCGAGATAATTTTTCTTTCTATCAATGTTTTAGTTTGTTTACCTTTAACTATTAATAAATGTTAAAGTGTTTTGATCACAAGCATTACAGTGAGAAAGAAATAATATGCTTTCTATAAATATATAGTGTATAAAGGTTATCATAACATTGTTATTTTAAAATAATATAAACAAAACTAAAATAATATATGATCGAAGCATTTATATATAGAAGAAAACAAAACTGAACCTTTTCTATTATCGTTATTTGTATAGATTACTATTAAGTGCATAAGCTTAATATCATTTCTACAATTTAAATATAACAAAAGTCTAATATCTAATTTGTTCAAATATCCTATATATGGTTATTATTCTTAAATATTAAATAGAAAAATCTGAGGACTTAAACCATGATCATATCAAAATTCAACAAGAATATTTTTACAAATAAATGAGTCTAAAGACTATCGAAAGGCTGATTCAACGAAAACAAATATTTCTCATAAAAAGAAAACAAAAAATCCTGTTGTTTATTTCCTAAGAGAAATAATACTTTTCTGATAAGATGTACTTAGAAAATGCGTCAATAAGATCATTTTTGATGAATTTATTTGGCATTCTTTTTTTTTTCATCCAACATTAGCGTTTATATTAATAAAAAAAAAAGAAATGACTGGCATGCTTAAATCAAAGCTAATGAGGTTTGTTCTTTTTATATTTCTCATTCAATAAACTTACCTTTCATAAAAGATTAATGTTATATTTTGATTCAAAACTTGTCAAGATAATTAAATGATTTATTAGGTTAGACAACATATAATGAACAGAGAACTTTATTTTTTCCTATTCTCAATTATTATTATAATAGAAAATTTCTCACTAAATTCTCTTCTGAATGGATCCAAAAAAGAATCAAAGTTTTTAGATGTAAGGCAAAAAAAGAAAAAGTTACTCTTAATGAATCTAAATTCTAGGGGAAAAGAAAAAGAGCAAAATAAACATTTATTTGGTATACTTTGTTCTATTTCTTTTTATAACTTTAAGCTAATGAAAAAAATATTAAAGAAAGTCCCTGCTTATGGTAGTTACTAAAAAAAGAGAATTGCAATGAATCAAGATAGAGACAAGGATTTTTTGCTTAGCTATATAATGCATGACTTATCTTTATAATCGTCCCAAATGTATAATGCTCTATGAGTGCAATTTTTATAGTTAAATGCAATGTATTCTATAAATTTTTAGTTCATTTTTTATTCTTCCTATTAAACATAAATATATATTTCCTTCCTTTGAATAATTTACATATTAAAAAAAATTTATGCTTATGAATAGAAGAGAATAAAAATTAATTTTTCATAATTATTCAAAATAGTCAAAGTAATCAACAATTTCAAGTTCATATTCTATGATTAATAAAGACTATTTTCTCTAGTAATATTACCATCACTACTTTAATTCCTTCTGGATATTTATTATCATGCGATGAAGACTTATTTTTCTTTAATTCTGTGAAAAACAAAATATAGACTCGAGTATCGAAAAGATTAAACTAATAAATAATTAATAACATATTCTCCTATTTCAAATAATCAGATTGCTTTTTACGCATCTACTAAGGTCTATCTGACGTAATGCCGGATATACTTTAGTTCTATATGAAAAGCTTGAGAAAACTTTTTTTTTTCTCTATATGTGATGATAAATAAAAGCCATACTCTGTTGTTTTTTTTTGTGATATTTTATCATACTTCAACTAATATCATAATAATAAAATGTCAACAAAGAACTAATTGTTATAATGTGTGACAGTAATATGAATACTTATGTCAAAAACATGGGTGAACATTTTTTTTTTCTGAATAACTTTTGACAGAAATAAGATAGAAATTGTGGTTTTCACTGTTGAAAAGAAGAAAGCAAGGTCTATGAAATCGTATATTACAGAGCTTTCTGATTGGTTCTTTTTTAAACCTTTTCAATCGAGTTTTTTGAAAATACTTATGTCTTATAGATTGTTCATAGTGAATTTTAAAATATAAGATGTACATTTAAACTATCAATTGAATATCTACAAAACTATCCATGGTTAATATTTTATAATTAAATAGTTTTAAATATTTCAGTCAACATTCAACGGCGATTTCCTTGCAAATATTCTGAAAACATTACTTTTTTTTTCTAATGAAGAAAAAAAAATATGTTTCTGACATTTAGAAAACGAATTGAAAAAAAACTTCAAAAATGATATTAGAAAAGGATAAAATATACTATTTGATACATCTTTATTTTCTCTTTCGAACAGTGAAATCTACAATTCTCAATCTTGTTTCTATCAAAAGTTATTCAAAAAAAAAACAAAATACTCATCCAGTTTTTTTTCCGCATGAGAGTTCATGTTACTCTCACACATCATAACAGATAGTTCTTTGTCTAAATTTTATTATTATCATATTAATTGAAATATGACAAAAAATAGAACATTGTTTTTATACTGTCAGCATATACAGAAAAAAAGTTTAAGAAAACTTTCTACACAGAACTAAAAATATACAAATAATTTTAATTACAAAATCTATTTTATATGATTTCATTTATATGCATTCAAAACTTTCGAAGTGTGAAAAACTAAAACTCTGGTATATAGTCTGATTAGCAGAAAGTAAATGAGAAAAGTTACATTCTTAAAATATATTAGACAGTTTTCTGATAATAGCTCGAAATTCTTGCAGATACAACATAAAAAGTATAGAAGGTCTACCTCATACATTCCAATCTTCTCGCACATCGAGATCTATATATATATGACTTTTATTTTATCTATCAAAATGAAATCATTATTTTTTGTTCTCTTGAGCTTTTTCCTGGTTACGTTATTATGTTATCGAATGATTGGTCGAACGAATCAATATTAAACTACTACTTAATTCTTTCAACGATCCTGAATGAACCAAGAAGAAACAAAGATATTTAACAAAAAAAAACCATAAATGCAAAGAAAAAAAACTCAAAAGGGAAGAGAGTTGAAAAATACATGGAAATGAAAAAACAAAAAAAAGAATAAGTGAATGTAGGTCATGCATATGTGTTTAATGGGATAGTAGAACAAAGGAAAGAGGAAGAACTTTGCAATATAAGTGAATGACACTAAAACAAGAATACACTTTCATTCCAATTACATATGTAAACTCATTATTTACTCATATAATAAATCAAAATATAGTATTGATAAAATAAATAATCGAAGAATAAATTAAAATAATGAGTTTAATCAATAGTTACACATACACAAAAAATAACTCTACGTATATTTTGAACATATTTTAAAATATATGGAAGATAACAAAATATTTTTCTTTTAACAATATACAAAAGAAAAGATAAATAGTTTTATAATATTCATGTCAAAATACAATATGTTGTAGAACTATAATCATATTTATTTGTTTCATCATTACTGTTGAAACATCAAAAGTATTGAATAATCTAATCATTGAACTAAACGAAATAACTTTTCATTAACATGACTTATTGATGTTTAAAGACACACATATGACAATGATTATTTTTTTTATATCAAAAAAGAATATTTTATTTCGTTTGCATAATTTAAATAACTATATAACATGTTGTATTTACTACGCAATATACACTTGTTAACCTTATTCTACTTAACTCGAACTACGTTTTTTTACATACGTAAAGAGGCTCTTGAAAATTTTTCCTCGATCATATAATTAACTGTGATTTGTGAGCATAATGAAACGTTGTTTAGTGTTATGGAGTATGAAATTTTTAATTATAATCTAAAGGAAATTGCTAAATCTTGATAAAGTGTTGGATATATTATAAAAAAAAAATAGAATGAGATTTTGTTTTTTTTTGTTGTTTCTAGGTCGTAAGTCATAATTTTGAAGAATGATACGTTAAAAGAAGAACATTTCTCTTCATCACTCTTTTTTGTAAATTACTACTAGTCAATAAAGTAGCTTTTTTTTCTCGGTGAAGTAGACTAACTTTGTTCTTTTTGTCTGAATAAGGGTCAAAGATAATTATCAGTAGAATATTCTTGATATAGATAATAATTTATAGAAATATGAACTTAAAACTTAAATATATAGAATATCTATTTTTCGATTGCAAGTTTAGACAAGATACTGACGACGATCATCTCTATTTTTCGAAATATTTTTTTAATTTTTCTTAGTAGAAAATGCCTCAAAAAAAAGCTGATACAAACTTCAATAAACGTTAAGACACATTTTGTGACTATGAATCGCCTCCTTTTCAAAAAACCTAGATTCATCACTGGAATTTTTCTACTTTAATGTATTCATCCCTTAAATTATATATGTAATAAAATTTATCTTGAATAAAAGTTATAAGAACAATCAAAAATAAAATAAAAACGAGAAATCTTTCATCTATGGAATATCTTGAACTTATAAAATGTGGAATAAATATATGTCTGTATGCAATTAAAATTTTACAAGAAGAGCATCATACACATGTAAAAGAAAACTATTTTTGAATATATTATAATATAGTGCATGATTTTCAAACTTCATTTTTTTTTCTCCTTTTATTGTTAAGTCATGGAAATAATTATCTTTTCAAATGAATATAAAATACGAAATTAAGGGAAAGTTGTATGCTTGAGTGTTTCTTTTTTTTTCTTTGTATTTAGCTACTTAATGTTATTAGAAACAATTTACATAATTTCATAAAGTTGATGATAGTTATTAATTGTCTAAATAACGTTGAATAACAGAGTATAATGATTTTCATCATTTTATTTTTAAATCATTTTAGTTTTCTATAAATGGTCAATATCAACTGGATTTTATAATTATTTTCTATTATATTTAATGATCTTATATCTAATGAAATCATAATAATATGACTAGATTTCTTTGAATGACGTTTGTCGTTCACGTAATAATGCTTGTTTCTTTCGATCTAAAGAATATATATTATTATCGGAAATACACGGATCGACCGGATTTCAGCTCAAAGTTTAGATTAAATGAGTGAAAAAAAATGTTTGAATAGATTTTGTGATCTCAACCGAACTATTCGAATAGATCAGCACAAAACTAAGAACATTTTCAACAGATCCTCAGATCCTAAATACAACCCAAATATTTGTCTTCTAAACAGAAAATACAAGCGACATACAAGAAAAAGTTTGCTAACCTCGTTCAAGCCAAGATTTTGAAGGTCTCAATGGTACCTGTTTAATAAAACAAAAGACGAGTAGAAGAATACCAGGTACATATTTGTTAATGCACTTACATTATAGCCTGCTTTTCTCAATGCTACAGCTACGGGGCACACCTGAATATAAATGGAACAAAATTACTTCTATGTTTTCAGATTAAATCATACCCAATCATCTTCATTGTTATTCTGTATTTCATCAACAATGATTTTAGTTATGTTATCATTTGTTTGCTTATTATTTGTTATTGTCTTTGATATAATTTCGAAATTATTCTGAAATAATTTAGACTTTTCACCAAATTCATCATCTCTTTGTTGTTGTATATCGACTAGTTGATTAGTTTGAATAGGTTCTTTATTATTTGAAATATTCAAATGATTCTCTGTTATTTGTGATACATTAATTGTTGGTGTTAATAGAGTTTCAATAAAAGTCCTTGGAGATATTGAAAAATTTTTATTATCTATTAATATTCGCTGACGAAATCGTTTAGATGCTGCCATATCGTAATTCGATTAGAGTTTTATTCGATATTATTTATCTATTTATTAAATTAACAGAACATTGATGATAAATATAACAAAAAACAATCAACTGTTATTGATAAAAGAAAAAGAACAATAAGATAAATATTAAGTTGCTATGTAGTTCAATTTCGAGTTAATTGTAAATAAAATTTTTCAAACAAAATATTTCATTTAACAAACATAAAGGATATATGAAGATTGACGATCAATTGTAATTTTTGTCTTTTTGTAGTAAGATCATGATAATTCAAGATGCTTTATAAATCAGATAATAAATCATAATATTCTTAATTATTATCACAACATCAATATGTTAAAAAATATGAATAAAAACAATCAAATGATACAAATTTTCTATTCATTCTACGAGAAAATATGATATACTTACACCCTCTTTTTTATGTTCGATATGAAAGTCATACTTATCGACAATTTGCTGATTGGTTTGTCCATTCAGTATCAACAAACAAAAATATTCTTGATTACATGGCTAATAAATCTTTTACCACAACTGCTATAAGATTTGCCTATTTACATGGTTTTGCTAGTTCACCATTATCAACTAAAGGTGTTCAACTACGTGAATGGTTTCAAGATGAATTGAATATATCACTCGATTTACCCGATTTGAATATACCTTGTTTTCGTAAGCAATGTCTTAGTAAAATGATCGATCATGTCGAAAAGAATATTATTGGTATTAAAATTTATTTCACTTAATTAAAAATTTTATCTATTTATTTATTTTTTTTTTTTTTATAAAATATTAGAATCAAATTCAATTTGGTTTCTTATCGGTAGTTCATTTGGTGGTCTTGTTTCTACACTTGTAACTCAACGACAACCTAAATTAATTCATTCATTACTTCTTCTTGCACCTGCATTTAATCCTGTTGAACGATGGATGTCGAAATTTAATATAGAACAGTGGAAAAATATCGGATTTATGAATCATTTTAATCCAATGACACAATCTGATGAACCAATTGATTATGAATTTTTTCGTGATCTTCAAACATATCCATCATATCCTATTGTAACAACTTGTCCTATAACAATTATTCATGGTCTACATGATGATATTATTCCTATTGAAACAAGTCGTGAATATATGCAAAAACTTCGTTTATTAAATAAACATCCAAGATTAATGATTGAAGTAGATGATGATCATTATTTAAGGAAGAAAAAAACTATAAATACTATTAAAACAATTATTCTTGATTCTTATAAATAGATGATTCATTCAAAAATTTGATGTTTGTTTTTCTTTTTCATCAAATTTAGTAAAATTTTAATGATAGAAATAGATTCATGATAATTATCAATGTCTTTTAAAAATATAATTTACATAAAAGAAAAAAAGCAGTTATACCTAAATAAATCATTATCAAAATTAAGAATATTTAATAACTTGAAATATAATATTAAAACAAAAAAAACTTATATCAAATTTTTTTATCTTATTTCATTTGATTTGCATTCTAAGAGAAAAATCATTTTGTATGAATACCATAATTTCAATGATAAAGTAGTAATACGCAAAAATAATGACAATAAACAATGAAACCAAGTAAGAGTAAAGCATATCCGCAAAAAGAAAATATAGAAATCTAAGTCAGTATGTATATCATCGAAATGAAGATCATTGAATTTCAATGATGAGATACACAACCAAATAAGAATTTAACTTATTATCAATAATTTTAGTAAAATACGATAAATTTGAGTGTTCAAAAACTTAAATCAATAACAAATTTTGTATATAATGTTGATGAAAGAAAATATATTTCAATAAAAAACAAAAAAAAAAATGGCATATGTATTTAACCATCAAATAACTATTCGCCGAATTTTTTTCGAAATGACAAAAAAAAAAAAAAAATTCAAAATAATAACTTTTCAATCCGATAATTTTGTTTTTCGGATAGAAGAAAACTGAAATTATCTGAATTCATAATAATATATATTGTTTAAATAAGTTTCTTTCAATCTTATTCTTTTCTCTTTAAAATTACATTTATTTCAAGTACTTCTATTTATAGAATGTATCATAACAAATCAAATATTGATGTTTTCTAATATTTCATATTCTTAAATGAAATCTTAAACTATAGAAAATACAATAACGATATTGGATACGAAATAAAAATTATATTAATATATTATAATTTATTTATTATAAAATTTTATCGAATTTTTATAATGTTCTTGTTTTTTTTTTCTTTCTTCTTTTATTTATACTTGCCGGATTTTTTAATTAATCAATCACAAATGTTGCTATAGGTTTTGATGAAAACCAAAGAAAAAACAAATAACGAATAGCATCAAATTAATTAAACAGGTAATATCCGAGGTATGGTCGATGTTGAAAATTTTGGCCACCAACGAAAATTATATAAAAAATTAGTAACAGATGCTATTTTAGTATTAAATGCTGCTTGATTTCGACTATAAACATTAAGATAAATACCAATAACAACAATTAAACCAGACCAAACATAGCTAATAAAATAAAATTGAATATGAACAATGAATCTAATTATTAAGAAAAAAAACTTCTACATACTCGAAAACAAATGGTTTTGAAAAGAGTGTAAATGATAATATAATTGTAACTGCTTTTCGACATGTAGTAACAGTAACACAGATTAATGCACCATATTCTTTTATCAATGTTAAGACAATATCGATACCCAAATAACCAAAAATAGAAAATATTAAACCATAACCATAAGTTGGAATAGGATGCTAAATAAGAAAAAATTTATTTATAATTATTCAATTTCGATTTAAAATACAATTGAAAAAAAATCTTCAATATATCAAGATATTAATCAATAGATAAATATTCGAATATCAAATATTTATGATAATTCAAAGAATTATTATTTATAAAACAAACACATAATGAATCTAAATTTTAAATCTTAATAAAGTCAACATTAATTAAAAATTTTATCTTTCATCTCTACATTATATTGAATAAGTTTCAGTAAAATAAATCAAAACTAATCATTCGCAATACGTGATTCTAATAATATTTTTATCTTCAAACATTATTTATTTATAGTAGAAATATCCAGGGTACGTTTTCTTTTTTGCAAATAAAAAATTTTCTTATCCTAACTTAACGATTTTCAAGTATGTGGAAGACTGGAAATTTTCTTTTATCTCACAACCTTGAAGAATAAGTGACTGTTTTGTTTTTTTTGTTGACAAATTATACACTAAGCAAGTGATTCATATATACCATTCAATTCGTTGATTGAAAGTAAATTCAATTAAAATTCTCAGGAAACCGAAAATTGGTCGATACGAAAATTAGTTACTACAAAAATTGATTGACACAAAAAATAATCGAGACATTATTAATAAAAAAAAAAACTTCGAATACGACGAATCAGACAAACCATTACAAAAAGAAAATGGTAAACGTCATTAGTAAAATGTCCATCACTACAACGAATTTTTATTCTACTATAAGCAGTATATGAACTAGAATTCATTTTTATAATTAAAATTGTTAGACTCATGTATTTTCATGAAATTAATTCTGACAGAGCTGTGAAATTGCAAAAAAAAAAAAGCTTTTTGAGAGTGTAGTGTCATTGTCAACGTTGGTGCGACTGCAGATGCAAGTGCCAGAGCTTGTGTAAATTGTAGTGCGCGATAGGGTTCAAGACGATCCATCTCAACAATTGCGCCCTTTTTTTTTTATTATTTCCATGTTTTCTTCTGCTAAAATCAACTGTTCTGGAAAGAGGTTCGAGTCCACTTTACTTGCACAGAGTACTACAACAAATATATTAAAAGTACCAGCGACAGATTATATACTAATATTAATTAATTTTTTACAATGTTGTCGCTCCTATTGAAAGATTCTTTTTCTTCTTTTTAATTAAGAATTTTTCGGCTATTTTTCTCGTCGACCAATTTTCGTGGACTCCATAATATTATGTCTGAATGCAATTATTGAACAATAGTGCTCTTACCATAGTTTTTAATTATTTAGAATTGCAGTGATTTGCATATCTTATAATGCTCTCTGTATAATACGATATATGTATATTGTCTATTAGAAAGACTAACATAGACTTGTAATTTTTTTTAAAAACCTCAATAAAAATCATATATTTAAATATTTTTATTTTCGTACAAAAAATTCGGAAGTCAAAGAGTTAAAAGGCACGAGAATTTGTTTTTAGCCTAATGTATTTGACATATTTATTTATACATAATATAGGAAACCTATTGTATTTCAATATACTAATTGAAGTAAATCAGTAAAAAGAAAAGATGATAAACAATAGAAGAAACAGAAGCTAAACAAAAGATCCATATCATTTCCGATCGAATTAGTCTAATTATATAGTATAATAACTGGCTTTTATCATTCGAATAGAGTAACTGCACGCAAATTGATCATTCTATATCTTCTTGATTGCAAATATTTTTCCTTAATTGGAAGAAAAAATGTACGCAAAGTCGATTTGGATAGGGGTAGAAAGAGAAACATATACCCATTATAGAAACAAGCGAAAATAGACATACTAATATAATCAGTGTAGATAACTTGATATAAGAGAAATTGAATAGAGTATTTTTGTAATATTATTATTGAAAATGCTCTATTTCCTCTCTTATTTTCGAATTTATCCAAAAACTAACAAATATATAGAATGGAAACAAAACAAGACTATTTGAAAGATCTTTTGAATTTTTTTTTTTGTACCTAATAAATCTTGTTTACTTTTGTATCTCTATCCTTCCTGTTCTACTTTTCTGATATTGGCTAACAAAATATCTGCAATCAGGATATAGTCTATCTATTTTGCATTCTTATTTTCATCCTATTCTGTCCAAAAGAATAGAACAAAGCGGAATATCTCTAATATGTAGTTAAATCTAATCAAAGAAAAACTATCAAGAGATCTTTTAAAAAAATTCCTTGTTAAATGCATTCATTTGTATGTAAGCTAACATTTTCAATCGAAGCTTTTGTTTTTCTAATATGAACATCTTGAACTCAATATCTATTTTGTAAATTTATGTAATTATTCTCTAGAAAAATCAATATTATTAAATTAGACAAAGTATAATACCTTATTCCAAAAAACCATACTTGAGATAAGTTTATTTGTTAATATGAGACCACTTAAAATGATGAGAAAACCAAACATAAAACTATAAAATACCTAATAAAATAGTTTGATAAAAATGAATATATATATATTTTTTCTTTTTCAATTTACTATTTCAACATTAGGAACATGATGTGTTTTTATAATTTTTTCTTGATAATTACCAATAATAGCATCAGCAACAAGAGCTGAACAAATGACAATCACACCTAAAGAATAACGAATTTCTATTCAATCAAATTGTTTTCTTTTTTTTATTCATATTAAATATACCATATGAATTAAAATTTGGTCGAACTTTTGTATCAGCTAAAGTAAAAAATACTAAACCAATTGACATACAGAAAGCAGCAGCAACATCATAACGATTAAATTTTTTTTCTTAATAAAACAATTTTAAAAATAAAAAAAACAACACATAATTTATTTCTTTTTAGGTTTATTTTAATTTTTTTATTTTTTACTTTGAATAATGATGCCACCAATCAGTACTGGTATCAATTTGCAACATTTGAACATGACTTGTGTTCTAAATAAATATGCATATATTGATAGTATTTTTTGAAAGAAAAATATTTAAATATTTTCTTACGGATAATTTAGGTATCCAACTGAATGATTTGATAAACCCATTGTAGCAACAGTGAGTGAAGCAAGTATTAGATAAGCTCGATAACTTGCTCTAGAAATAAAAATAGTTTGGAAAACAAAAAAGAAAAAACTTTCGAATTATCAAATACCTTCGTTGACTCAATCCAGAAAATCCAAGTTGAATAAATGAAAGAATACCATAAATAAAAAATTGATAACATGATAAAAACCAAGAGGTATTTCTAAAATCTTCCAATGTAAATAAAAGTTCCTTAATAAAGACTTCTATGAAAATTTAAATTTTTTTTTTATTATTAATAAAACGCACTTGTAAATAACCATAAGCTAAATAATAGAAAAAAACTTGTGCAGATAATCCTATAAAACGAATTGGATGTTGAGATGGTAATGATGAATATGTTTTTAAAAGAGTTAAATTTAATAGAGAATGGTCTTTCTGTTGATCTTCATCAGACACCATATTATTGACTGCCAAATTATTTACCGTTGTGGCAGTCTCAGTCGATGAGTCAGACAGCAATGATGTCGAAGCTAAAGAGAGTGAATGACATACATGAGTTGATTTTTTTTCTCTCTGTTTGTCATGTAAATATAGTCACCTTCATCAAGTACTTTATTTACATCCATTGATTTATATCATCTCATTCTAACGAAAAAAAAATCTAGAAAAATTATTTACTTCAATGTTTTTCCAATGATTCATATAAGAGCCACAAAAAAAAACAAATCATGCATTTGTTTTTTTCACAACGTCACCTTTTTTTATTTCAATCATAATTTACCATTCTGTTTTCTTTTTTTTTCTTTTGCTCTTACAAAATGAATCGTAGAGGAAGAAAGGTTTTATGTACAGGTAACACATTGAGGAAGGAAAGAGAAAAAGAGAAGCACTAGAAACGAAAAAAAAAAAAACCATGCATATGCAAAGAAATATATAAATTTATGTATCAGCCCATAGGCTCAGATCCGGTAGAAATGCTAAAAAAAAATACGGACATACAACAGAAAATAGACGGAGAAAAACGAGCGAATTTTTTTTAAATATTTTTCGTTTTGTTTCGTCGAAGCTGTACAAAACACTGACGGTACAACACCAAAAAAAAAGACCAAAGAAACTGAATTAAAGTGCAAAATGCATTTTCGTATATACACAAATACACTGGTGTAGAAAAATGTCAATAGAAAAAAACGAAAAGCAATATGAACAAATACAAGGATAAATATGCATGTATATATATATATATAAATAAATATGTATAGAGAAAAAAACAAAAGACAAAAGAGTGGAATGACACGGTAAATATTATACATACATAAATTTTTTTTTAAATTTTTTGTTTACTGTAATACTGAGAAATATACGAGATTTTTTTTTTTTTAAATTTTTTTGAATATAAATTTTGTATTCTACTAATGATTTGAACGAGATGGTTGATGAAGAATTAATTTCGGTGTACGAACATAATTTAAACGTTGTCGTTCAATAATTTTATTTGATATTTGTTTTGTTTCATCAATATTATTTGATAAAATTAATTTTGATGATGTTTTAACTGATCGTCGTCGTCGTTGATGTATACGATGTAAATGGCGGTGATGAGCCATAAGTGAAGATGTTGATGATTCAAGTGTTGATGTTGATGAATTTGTTGAATGACATAATGATGCATTTAAATTTCGATGATGAATTGAAGATAAATTTGGATGTTGAGATGGATACTAAAAAAAAAAAACATTTAATATAAAATTTTAAATAAATCATTAATCTTACTTGAAGAACAACAGACGATCGATCATCATCATCATCATCACCACCACCATCATCTTTAACTTCTTCAACTTGTTCATCAAGTAGATTATCATTAACAGTTTTTCGATGACGTTTAGAACGTGTTCGCGAAGCTATTTGTTCGTAAACACTCATACCTAAACAATAATAAGAACAAAAAGAAAAAGAAAAAAAAATATACTAGTAATTATTCATTATATTATTTTTTTTTTTTTTGCATACTCGCATGTTCAATAAGTAGATTCTCAATTGGATTAAAATGATGTGTAGTAGGTGACAATGGTCGATTTATAAATAATGATTCATCAGTTCTCATTAAAGGTGGCGATGCTATCCAACTATTTGTCATTATACTATTTAAATCATTTGGTGAAGTGACTTTTGATACTAAAATAATCGATGAAAGAATAAAAAAAACAAAAAACAAAAAAAAAAATCTAACCATTATCTGAAACAAGAACCCAATCATCTTCATCAATAGATAAAACAGATGAATTAATTGATGATAATCGAGTTGTAGTATTGTTAGATGTTGATGGTCTAGACCACAATGATGTGAGTACTTTATACATATTTCTATGACCTTGAATAAAAAATAAAAGAAATAAATTTCAATTAAAAATAAAAACAACACAAACAAAAAAAATATACAATCAAGTTGATGTTGTTGTTGAATATATGAGAAAATCAATCATTGTTTTTCTTTTGCTGTGCTCTAACTAAAGTACACACACGATATGTTGTCTATGTACGATGCTGTTGACGAATATGAAGAAAATGTTTCTTCGTTAGCGTTCTTTCTTTTTTTTAGTGACGATAGTTGGCACAGAGCACGAGAAAGATATGTCAAGTAAGCAAGAAAACGACGAGATTGCCGATCAAATAATTACGCATACAAGAACAAGTTGGAGGAAAGAAAAAATTGTCAGACTCTTGCTCCCATCATCATCTATACCATACGTTGTTCGCATGAGCCTGGATCATGCATCACATGGCTGATTGACCTATGTGTTACTTAATATAGAACCAATAGAAAAAGAACTATAATGTTTTTGTTTTTTTTCTATATAAATTATTTTAGATACTTTAGAAATAATCTATGAATAGATGTAAATAAATATTAAAAAAAAAACAGAATAAATACAATGTATGATGAAATTTAGTGACATCTATTAAAAAAGATTTTTTCGTTTTGTTAAATTTATTATTTATTTGAAAAATAAAATAAAAAAATTTAAGTCTTGAAAAAAGAAAAATAATTTTTTTTTTCGATATAGATTTATAAATTAATTTCTATTGGATATTGAAAATAACTAATTAAAATTGTTATATCGATTCTTTTTTTGTAATTCACTTCATTCTATTTTAAAAAAAGAAATGGATCCAGGACAACTTTTAATTACTCAAAATCGTTCATTTCCATCATTAGAATATGTACTTCAAGGTTGTATTCAAGATGATTCTGTTCATTTACTTAAAGCTCGTTTACAAGGTTTATGTGATAATATAACTGGTTCGTTTTTTTTCATTTTCTCTTTTGAATAAAATAATTATTATTATAAAGGTGAAGTTGAACAATTTGATGATCATGAAATAGTATATACTCTTCGAATTCCAGGTGCATCAAGTGTATCATTACATGTTCGTTATGCACTTGATGATTTACCTAATCCAATATATCATTTACGTTATGTTGCTTCAGCTGAATTAGATAAAAGTCAAAGTGTTAGTGTACGACAATTTCATGATTGTTGTGTAACAAAAAATATTCAAGCATTTTTACAAGAACTTGGTTTTATATATGATTATGAATTTTATGCTAAAGGTGATATATTTCGAAAAGGAAGAATGAAAATAATCGTGGCTAAAATTTCAACTGTAAATATTATTACATTGTTTTGTTACTTCGTTTATTTTTAGTTGAAAAAAAAATCAGATTTAAGATTAATCAATAGATATTTGATGTCAGTAGGACAGATACATTAAACGTCGATCATAAGTTACGTTGCTGTGAAATAATTAGAATGAAATGTCTTCTTCTATTAAACTGAACGATATGAAATCTAGAAAAAATTCCTAAGACATTGTCAATAGACTTTTCGTTCTATATGACAAAATGTTTGAGAATAATTTCATTCAAACTGATATTATATATTCAATTTTAATAGATTAACTATAATAGCAAACTTTGAAATAAATTAAATTTTTTGTTTTTCTTGTCGAATTAGTTAGCTGAACGCAATCGTTCTGATATGAATCCAATGCAAATGCGTCGACCACTTACAAGTTCATGTTTTGTTGAAATGTCATTAATTGGTTCTATGCATGATGTAACAGAAAAAAAAGCAGTTTTTGATTTCTATATCTTATCTGAAAACTTTTTTTTTGTTTTGTAGGATAAAGTTGGTGATGAAATGAAAACATTTGCTGAACAACTTAAACCGTATGTTATTTATATATATATTTAAAAATGTTTGTATTCCCTTTATTTCTTTTATAGATTAATTTCTCTTGAAAAAATTGATCAAAAAAGATGATTTTAATTATAGAAAAAAAAAAAAAGTTTTTATTCAATTCAATACTAACATGTAAAATTTATGATTAAAAAAAAAAGAAAAACTTCTTTTTGTTATTTAATCAATTTTATGAATATGATTGATTTAACTAATTAATCTTTTACTCTCATTCATCAAAATTATCTAGCATCGGATTGAAACAGCTTTCGATTATTCTATCGAACATTTTTTGTAAAAAAAAAAATATGTTATTTCTCTTCATAACTCTTTGGCTAGAATTTAGGAGTCAGAAAATAGTGTTTTTTGCAGAGTAGCTTTTAAAAAATGTCTTGATTACAAGTGTAAAAGTAGAATTTTGTATGACAATTTAGATCTTTTTATGGTTCATTTGTAGTCAGTAACATGAAAAGTAGTGCTCCTAAAATTATCATAAATAATATAATCTTCATTAGAACAAATATTTCACAGCAATTTTTAAATAACTTCGTATTGATAGATATTTTTTTATGAATTGCTATTGAAGCATGAGCATAGCACTAGGAATTAGAGCTGATGATTTCCTACTATAAAGAGGAAGATCAAATAACAATTTCAATACGATCCTGGAAACGTATCTATATCATAATCAACACTTGTATAAACTATTTGCATGATTGACTCAACATGAACTCTATTGAATTAGTACAAGTAGGTAAAGGATTAATATAATCTACTTTATTATCATGTTTTGTCTATTTGAAAGACTACGACGCTCTTGTTTTCTTTCCTCAATTTGTAACTTAGCAAAATGAATAAATCGATTTTAATTATGAAATAAATTAATAAATATTAAATTGATTTTATTATAAACACTTTTTCTTTTGTATTATTTTAGATTTTTATCATGAGTAATACTGATTCATTTGCCATTGGTAAGTAATCAATAAACATCGGCTATATATAGATTTGTAATGATTAGAGCAAGGTTTTTTGTGTTTTCATTAGAAAAACATCGTAATATTGTTTGAAAATATCATATTTGTTAATACATGAAATGGATTCCTTTCATTAGGATACTAATGTTTTTGTTAGTGATCAGATTTCCATTAGATTTTTTAACACACTGTAACAAACTATGTTCTAATGTAGAATAATCAATTGCAAAAGAATTATCTT